CCAGTTTTAGTAAATAACCCCCGTTTTTGCATTTGAATAGAAAACACAGCATTTGACATAAAAAAGAGGCATTTGTCCTGCTCTGCCTGTAGTTCAAATGCACCCAGCTAGGACATGCTGCATTCAAACAAATGCAATGCAAAGCAGGTCAAGCGCAGCTTCTGAACTGCCATATGTACAGCTCAGATAAAGTCTGTGGGATATTGCTGACTTGCATTTGAGGTGCATTCCAAGTGCAACAAAACAATGCCCATCAACATGAGTCAGCACTGTAGCTTAGTGTTTAGAACTTTGAGCAGGACACTATCTGCAGTTTTCATGTGCTGTGCTTGTGTGGGTTTCCTCCCACACTTTGAAAACGTTCTGCTAGGTTAATTGGCCTCTGTTTAAATTGGCCCTAGTGTGTTTGCACATATGAGATCTTAAGCTCCTTGGGGGCAGGACTTGATGTGGATGTACAGAATATAAACCGCTATATAAATAAATTGAGCCCTAACCTTTCATCACCCCATTCAACTTCCTTCTACTTTTCCTTCCCATTCCCCCACATCCATCATCCGCTCTCAATCCTGCATCTGAGATCTAACAGGCAAGTACACTGGAAGCCGTGAGGGAAGAAGATAGCCAGTGCATTTAATGACAAGTGATCCTCATGATGGAGATGAAGAGCAAGCTCCCATACATGACTGCCAGCATTTGAAAAGATTTTCTAGAGCTACTTTACTGAGCTAGTATACCTATTCCTGTGACACCGTGACACAATTGCATATCCCTTAATAATATTTACTAAATTGAATTCACACCACTTCCTAAAACTCAATCTATCCAAAACTGAGCTCATAATATTTCCTCTCCTCTGATTTCTCAGTCAGGATCAATAGCACCACTATCAACCCATTCCTGCATGCCAGGATGCTAGGAGTAACCCTGGATTCTGAACTATCCTTTCAGGCTCACATCCAATCCCTGTCCAAATTATCCCCCGTAACATCTCCAGAATATGCCTCTTTTTAACCAATGATACCACAAAGCTCGTAATTCACTCCCTGGTCATCTCTCGCTTCAACTACTGCAACTCCCTCCTCATTGGCTTACCTTTACATAGGCTATCCCCCCTCCAGTTCACCTTGAATGCTGCTGCCAGACTCATCCACCTTACCAACCGTTCAGTGTCTGCTACCCCTCTCTGCCAATCCCTCCACTGGCTTCCACCTAACGAATAAAATTCAGAATACTAACAACTCACAAAGCCATCCACATCTCTGCCCCCAGCTACATCCCCAACCTGGTCTCAAAATATCAACCAAACCACTCTCTTTGATCCTCCCAAGACCTTCTGCTCTCTAGTTCCAGTGTCGCCTCCTCCCAAGCTTGCCTCCAGGTCTTCTACCGAGCTTCTCCCATCCTATGGAACTCCCTACCCCAATCTGTCCGGCTGTCTCCTAATCTATCCACCTTTAGACGATCCCTGAAAACCTTTCTCTTTAAAGAAGCCTATCCTGTATCTACCTAGTAAACCACCATTTATTTACTCCATCAACTCATCCCCCCCACAGCTATTACTTTTTGTATCATTCAACCCTTGCTCCTAGATTGTAAGCTTTAAGAAGCAGGGCCCTCTGTTTCCTCTTGTACCAAATTGTATTGTAATTGTAATGTCTACCTTCATTTTGTAAAGCGCTGCGCAAACTGTTGGCGCTATTTAAATCCTGTATAATAATAATGATACTTACATTTTTTTAACCATACATGCATTTTTCTTCCGTAAGATACATTCATAGGGAATCTGTACAGTGCTAACCAACATAAGAATTTTCCACTTTACCATGGAGAGCTGGAAGAATAGGACATGGAGAGAATCATTTACACATTACATTTACTCCCTAATACACACTCTTCCCCTCAGTAAATAAAGTATATACAATATACCTACTCCTTATTGATAAAATCAATTAATGTAATTATTTTGGACAGTTTAACGTAGATAAAGAAGCTGGAGACGGCAGATCTATCACCGATACTGTATGGAGCGAGCAGCTGTCCAGTGCAGTCATGTCTTCACTACGTCTCTCAGATTACTGCAATAGAAGCGGAGCACCTACTGAAACGTAAACCAGGTAGGCTGCAAGATCTGTGAATGTACACTGGAAAATAATGATCTGCTCTTCTTTCCTGCTGTATAGATACAAACTTAAGGGCTCTTATCGATTGTCAGCTCTGTGCCCATGTTGACTGTCTGTAGAAAAGTTTCCTGTTAAAATCAATGGGCTGCTACACTGAAATAGGAAGCACACAGAAAACCTGGAAGACCATTCTCACAACAGGACTGTAGAAGTTTGTATAGACATCCCTATGCAGGTGATTTGCTTTACAGGTCATGGCGTTACTATGGAATAGAGCATCAAAACTAATGCCCCGCAAAAGATGTACACTGCAGCTGATAAACTCACGTTCAGGAGCTGTTCAGCGTTTTTTTGAACGCAGAAAAATTGGGTTCAGTAGATTTTATCAGCGTTTCAGATGCTTGTAAACATGGCTAACTGCGTTTATAAGTGTTTGCGTTTGCAAATTTTCTTTTAACTCTTCCATTTCCAAATGCTGTCCAGAGCCTTTTTTTCAATCATGAAAAATGCATGCAAAGTGTTTTCCCCGGTACTCAAATGGACCTGGTACACCATAATTTGAGGTTTCACATGAAAGGAAATATGTTAGACACTGCTGCAATAATTTCTGCACAGAAATGAGCTGGAACACATCCAAACACCACAAAAAAAAAAGTCCGCTAATCTCAACACATACTGCTCTCTCTTTCTCTCAAAATGTCTGAAATAGTTAATTTTTTACTGTTTTGCAGTGCATTCTGGGTATTTTGGAAGGTCTCTTGAGGTTATCTTTAAAAAAATGCTTCTAAACGTAAATGCTCATAAATGCGCATAAACGCCGTATGCAAACGCGGTTTAAACAGACGTTTTTTTAACCTACGTTTTCCAGCAGTTAGTTTCCATCTTCAGAAGTGTCCCGTGTACATGGAGCCTTAGTTTCATCTACGAGTAGTACAATGTAGCAATTTCATTTGTGAGGACCTATTATCAAAAAAGCATTCCCATGTAAATAAATATATTAACCCACATCACTGGTAACAAGTGAGTAGAACTGCTGAAACATTTATTTAAACAAAAAGTAGATGATTTAGGTGTAAGGACTGTACCAGGTCATGTGAGCAATGCCTTGGGTGAAGTGATCTCCTTCAAATGGATGGATCTCTGCTTGGGTAGAGAATGTGGCTGGCTCATCATGAACATCAGTCCCATACCATACATCAGCAGCAACGAACTCAATCCTGGCCCAACCCCAAATCAGCTATGCGCTAATATTCGCTTTTTTAATGACCTTTTACTAAAGCTTATCAAAGCTGTGGTCAACATATTATTTGCCATTCAGACTCACTTTGTGAACAAAACAGAAGTACGTATTGGCGCAGGAGAGGTACTAGTGGGTATGCGGACTGTAAAGAGTTTTTAGAGGTGTTTAAAAACGTTTCAGTTATAGGAGAGCATGGGGGCTTTTTCGTACACCAGGGGGGGATAAAAAAGGGGGAGGGTGGGGCGAGAAATATATATAGTATATGGTAGTATAGGAAGGGTATTGCCTCTTACGTGAGGCCACACTCTCTAGAGTAAACTGGAACTCTATGTGGAGAGAATAGAAGAGAGAGAGAGGTGCGCCAGACTAAGTGCAGTAAAAATGGTAACTGTTTATTGCACACAAGATATTTAAAAACTCACAAGATGTGGGTAAAATTCAGACATCAGATTATAGACCTGGGACATTATCTAGGGTGGACATCTGGAGCGGATGGCTGAGGTACCAGGGGCCAAAAACTCCCTCAGTGGCTGGTGCTCTGGAGTGGGTCTCCATGGAGGAGTGAGGAAAGCAGATGATTGTCCTGGGAGTTGTGGTGCAGGGAAGGAACCGTGCTCTGGACAGATGCTGCTAGCCTCTCAGATCAGCGTGGGTAGGGTCACGTAGTAGAGCCAGCTTGAAGCGCATCCAAGATGACCGCCAAGCGGAAGTAACGTCTAGACATAGGAAGGGGCGGTGGCGCGTTTCTAGGCAACAGCCTTTTCCTCGCTCCTCCACTGAGACCCACTCCAGAGCACCAGCCACTGAGGGAGTTTTTGGCCCCTGGTACCTCAGCCATCTGCTCCAGATGTATACCCTAGATGATGTCCCATATCTATAACCTGATGCCTGAATTTTACCCACATCTTGTGAGTTTTTAAATATCTTGTGTGCAATAAACAGTTACCATTTTTACTGCACTTAGTCTGGCGCACCTCTCTCTCTCCTCTACTTTCAGAACAAAACCTACACACTGATTACCAGTATCTTCAGTTTTTATTGGCTCTGCCTATGCACCAGTGGCATTGCAAGATATCGTTCTCTCTGGTCCCTACACATCTGTTGCCTTTAGAAGGGAGGTTTTCCTGCACAAAAACGTGATGAAAAGCTACAGCCTGCCTGGTAGCAGAATGAGATGCTGTATAAATCTGACTGCAATGGATTACATGAAAGGGAACCTGTTATGGTAGAAAAAAGGGACTGTCAATGCTGGCCTCCTTTTTAAACATTCTGATCCAGTGGCGTTAATAGGCTGGCATGTCCACCAAGGAACTAACACTTTCTGTAGAAAATCGGCAGTGGAAGCTATTGCAATTTAATCTTTGAATACTCGGAATTGGAAAATTCTAGAACAATGGTGGCAGATTGCTGTGGTGGAAAACTCCAGATCTGCCAATACAATTACCAAGTGTGCAAGTGTAGATCCATCAAAACATTTCTCTTTTATCACCTGTGTATTGAAGTGGCTGTCTGAATTCTGCTCATAAGTCTTACCTCTTTTTCCAAGTCTTTAGAAGACATATTGTAATGGAAAGAGAGAATTTAAGTTAGCCATCAAATGTGACCAATGACCTATAAACCAGGATTCTCCAGGAAACATGATATCTCTAACCCAGCCTTTTATCTCCCTGAATACAGATATAGTAACTCCAAACGGTTTGAATGTAAAAAAGTTCTCTGCTATGCATGAGTTTCAGAATCTGCACGCCCAAAGTAAGAATCGCATACAAGAGTTTATCCGGGGACATTTTTACGGGTAAGATGGTTAATGCTGTTCTTACAATGAAGTTAAAACAAATCTGAATCTCGCCATGTTTACTGAGCAAAGTGGTCTGAAGCAGGGATTCACTTCTAATTAAAGGACCCTTAACACTAGCCTGCATTACGGTTTTGCTGTGTGCTTTTTATAATGTGTTCCAATGTACTGCAAAAACACAGCCTATTCATTTTGAATGGGGACCAGTGCATAGTTTGCTCCTGCTCAGTTATTTTTAAAATGTAAACCTTGTTTTCTGGTGCACAGTAGATTAGGTGTACTCTGTGGGTGTGCTTGGTTGCTGTTTAAAAATGAATAGAACTGCACCGCAGTCTACTGAGCTTTACACTGCATTGCATCTAAAACACACTGACTGCACCACATTAAAAATGCAGAAGCATAGAGCTCTGGTCTAAGTCTTGTTGTCTTGACATAAATGTTTACTACTTTGTTTCTACAATACTGAAAAATTGTGTATAAATCAGTTGTGACAATTTTCTTTACTTCATGGTAGGCACCTAGACTTCAATTTGGACAAGACCTTGTTTTTCTTCATTGCTGGGCGCTATGAGTTCTCTAACAAAGGAGCTGATGTTTTTTCTGGAGGCCTTGGCAAGACTCAACTACCTTCTAAGGGTAAGGTAAAAACTGGGGTCAAGAGCAATTAATACAAATTGAATCAAGTGTATTAACAGGTGCTTTTTGTTTTCTCCGCTTTAGGTGAATCAGAGTGATGTGACGGTGGTGGCATTTTTCATTATGCCTGCACGGACTAATAATTTCAATGTGGAAACCCTGAAAGGTCAAGCCGTACGAAAACAGTTGTGGTGGGTGCACAAACGTATTGTTAGAGAAATCAGAAAGGAGACTTGAGCATTTTGTTAGCTTGTGAACAGATTAAAGCTAGGCAAGCCCCTGAATGCAATGCTAGGTTATGTTGTGGTTAGCAATAATTATAATTAGATTAAAATAAGCAAAGGTTCTTTATTGTCTTCTGGATGTAAAAATGAGATGTAAAGTGTTCACCTTTACATTAAAAAGGTGAACTAACAGCCTGCTCCTCCCCCCTTCCTCTCCTCCCCCCCTTCCTCCTCTCCCCCCTCCCTTCCTCTCCCTCCCTTCCTCTCCCTCCCTTCCTCTCCAACCTGGTCCATGCTGTACCTTGCTTTTCGGGATGCTGAGCTGTCAATGCCCACACTAACCATTCAGCATTGCTCTGAGAAGCACTGCACAGAGAAGAGGAAGAGCAGGGGTTTCAAATCCCTGAACCTCTGGACTGGCTGCATGGGCACTGACAATTCAGCTTCCCTGGATGCAATTATGGGGGGGAGGGGTGCAGGGTGTACGGTGTTCAGTTTTACATTCAGCGTTGCTCTGAGAAGAGCTGCACAGAGAAGAGGAAGAGCAGGGGTTTCAAATCCCTGAACCTCTGGACTGGCTGCAAGGACCCTGACAACTCAACTTCCCGGGAGGCAATTATGGAGGGGAGGGGTGCAGGGGGTAAGGTGTTCAGTTTTACATTTTCTCTGTAAAGATGAAGTAACACTTTAAAGGATATGTTCACCCTTGTAAAAACAAATAATAAACGCAAATCTTTTTGCAGGTTAAAAAAAAGTATATTTTAAATTTTTTTACTAGGAACCTTGCTGATCGGGGGTGTAATGCAGGTCTCCTGCAGACTGTCAGTATAAGCTGTCTGCTGTTACGGGCAAGCAGTTACACGACAGGAAGAAACCATGAACTACATAGAGCGCTCAACAGCACCCTGGTAGTTCATTGAGAACTACAAGTTGGCTGTCGATACTTGTAGTTCTCCAAAAAGAGGCTGCAGTAGTGGGAACATGCTGCATGTTCCATCCTAAAAACGGGTGGAACTTGTAGAATATTCCCAAAGGTGAACTTATCCATTCAGTACATCGGTCTGATAATGGCCAGCTGCTTTATGCAGATTAAAAGACGAACAGAATCTCAAAGTCTGAATATTCTGTTTTGTGTGTAAAAGCGGATTACCAGAAAAGCACAAGAAGCTGATTTGTTTACTAGAGTGCATTTCTAGAGTGAAAGCGCATTTATTAAACTGGCCAGTAGAGGTCACTGTAGATCAAAGGATATGACACTGACCCACAGAGGTGAAGAAGGTGAAGAATGTAGTTACTGCACACTTGGGGGACATTTATATATATAAGGTGAAAATTTTAAAATGGGAAATATTTTGACCCAGAAATAAACCAGCAAATTTGCTTCGTTGATTAGATATCAAAGTTATCACTCTGTCAATTTTGTTTTCATTTTGAATTCCAATTCTAGTGTCAAGAAATACATAAAATGTGTCACAATGAAAAGCACCTATTAACTGACCTTTTATGGGTTTGGTGGTGTTTTTTCTGGTTTGGATGAGAATAACTTTTCCAGTTTATTACTTCACAGTGACTTGCTGTTCTGTTGGTTTCTGCTGTGTGTGCGAGGGACTAACATTGCCTATATCTTTTTACTGTATTTTTATAGGGATACAGCCAATGCAGTAAAAGAAAAATTTGGAAAGAAATTGTACGAGTCACTGTTAGTGTAAGTACAAACTTTACTATTGGAAAACACATTACCCTCCGGGATCTTCACAGGGGCGAGTGGTTTGGAAAATGGAATTAATTTGCAGTGCCATCTACAGGTGGCTGTGGTATTGCAACACCTTTTCTGGTTACCAAAGTTATTCTGTTTTTCTTATACATTTTCATTGTTGTTGATCTGTTTCTCCAGTGAAAAATTAATTCCATTGTAGGTCAGTGGTGATCTTTTTAAATTGTAAGTGCACCTGATGTTCTAACCCTTCTGGATATTAACTCGTTCTTTCTGGGTTATTCTTTCTAGCTGATCTTGAATCCTTTGATCTTTATTACCCTAACAACTTGGTGGTAGAGTGTCTTCCAAGTGGCAGAAGGAAACCTTCATGGTGTCACTGGGGATCACACATCGGTAATGACGTCATGACACACCGGAAGTGACCTCCGTGGACCACAAGGAAAGCTGGCAGTGGCTGTCATCTATTGACCAAGTAGGGTGAATTTCAGAGAGCTTTACTGACAAATCCTGGTTACCACGATGATGCGTTTCGCACTGTTTGTACTTTGTCACAATCAAATGTTAACCAGGAGAACTTCATTATAAATATTCAATTAGGAGATTGAGTGGAGACAAAGGAGGAAATTAAGGCCGGGGATTTAAAGATATATAGACCTATGAGGTTTTTAATAATGCCCATGCAAACCAGCTCCTTGCAATTCATCCTAGTTTGTTGATAGACGACGTCCACTGCTGGCTTCCTTGTGGTCCACTGATGTCCCTTCCGGTGCGCCGCGATGTCCCTTTCGGTGTGCTGTGATGTCACTTCCGGTGTGCTGTGATGTCACTTCCGGTGTGTGATCCCCAGTGACACCGTGAAAGTTTCCTTCTGCCGTTTGGGAGATGCTCTACCACCTACCACCAAGTAGACCACACCACACTTACATGGATCTCCCCACCTTGGGTTCATTACAGAGGACCCTTCACAGCCAGGACACCTATCAGTAAGCCGTTCTTAATAATCATCACAAGCAAGGTTTGGAGTTGTTCTGTTGAGAATATAATTTTACAACTTTTTTTTTACCTTCTCGAACTATTAAACTTTTCTTCTTGGATTGGATATATCAACTGTTTATTAAGTGGTCTTGCGCCATAAGCACTGTACGTTCCTATTGCTATCTATTTACACACTATTCCTGATGGTTGTTAGAGTAGCTGTGGAAATGGTCCTTGTTTTTACATATGTGAAGTTTACTTATGAAATCAGCACCCAGAAGTTTGCTGTTAGTTACTTGTATTGTTGTGTTGTACTGTACTTAGATTGCAAGCTCCCAGGATCAGGCCCTCTTAACCCTCTTGTTTTGAACTGTATTGTTGCTGTATTGTCTCCCATTATATTGTAAAGCGCTGAGCAAACTGTTGGCGCTATATAAATCCTGTATAATAATAATAATTGTGTTTTCAGTGCAATTAGGTTTCCACCAGATTCACTTTATTATAAAAATGAGAACCGTCCTTGTTGGATGCAGTGCTCTCTTAGGGCTGCTGTGAGCTGTACTGTGCATACCTTGCAGTTACAATCAGGCTGGGGTAACTTCAGGAGCCTTTAGGTTCTTTTCACACAGGGCTTGTTCCGATCTGTGGTGGGAGCTAGCACAGATTAGAAATGTAGGGTGGAAAAGAAGCAAACTTCATGATGTTAACCATAAAAAGCATGAAACTTATAAACTTGCACAGCATTCTGCTAGAAAAGGCCACTTTCACATGAGGCAGAATTTGCTTGGCTCAGAAGGGGATCTGTCCACTGATCCCCTTCTGAGCATTGCAGAGCAGATGAATGACAGGTCCGTGTGCATTCAGTTTATGCAGAGCGGACATAGATACCCTTTTTGTTTTTGTTATTTTTGTTTTTTTTTAGTGGACCGTATACACCTGCTGGTACATAGGGCTACATGGCTCATCCAACCGGGTCCACCTGACAAACTGACAGGCAGATCTGATCAGATCGCCCACGTGAAAGGGCCTTGTACTGTAATAGAAATGGTAGAGTTATCTTTCTGTAACAAATATTATCCCATGGAAAGAGATCTGTTGCTGAACAGTACCTGGCTGTTTTTTTATATTGCAGAGGGAATTTACCTGACATGAACAAGATGCTGGATAAAGAAGACTTCACTATGATGAAGAGAGCTATTTTTGCTACACAGGTATGGGGACGAATCAGTGGTGGAGAGCGCATGACAAATAGATCAGTAAATCTAAGTAAACTGAAATAAATCTGTGTGTTAGTTTTATGGATTAAAAATGAGGAATGTGTTTTTCTATTCTTTTTAAATGAATGTGCTTTCTTCACAGAGACAGTCATTCCCTCCAGTCTGCACACACAACATGCTCGATGACTCTACTGACGCAATCTTAAACACTATTCGAAGGATCGGTCTTTTCAACAGTAGTGCAGATCGCATAAAGGTGAGGTCGACTTGTGTGCACTTCCTGCCAAGTGAATCGCTGATCTTGTGTCTGTAGGAGGCTCATGACCAGGGGCGGACTGACAACTCATGGGGCTCCCGGGCAATAGGGGATCATGGGGCCCCCGGGCAATAGGGGATCATGGGGCCCTTGTGTCCTTGCCCAAACTCAAAAACGCCTATGAAAAAGGTACCAGGGGCATCTCATGGGGCCCCCTACTGACCCCGGGTCCTCGGGCAGTGCCCGAGTTTCCAAATGGTCAGTCCGCCCCTGCTCATGACTCCACTGAGTGCCTGCAGTCTGTGAGATCATTCGATTGGGACAGACATTTTCATCGACTCCCACTGTTCTGCGTAGGGTGGCAGCACTGCCTCTTCTCTCTGCCTTATTTTCAAGAATAGGAATGTCCTGCCAATCAGATCTTTCCTGCTCATTGACCCTCCACCAGATCTTGGTGCCTATAGGCAGTTGCCATTATCTGTGCATCTCCAACCATCAAAATTGGCGGAGAACTTCAGACACATGATCCAGCCACATCTAGCAAATGCAGTTGCTATTGGGTCTAGATAGTAAAGCAGGGAAGCTATAGTGTTTGGGATAGGTTTGAGGTCCATCCCCCCATGTCTTTGGATACTCTGCTAACTGGATTGCAGTTTGTTTATTTTATTAAAGCTGAACTGCCAGCAAATATAAAAGGCGTAAGCTGATGCAGTTCTGTATTTATTAATACACCCGTTGTATGTATTTTTCTAAGTGCAAGAAGTGTAAATTTCTGAATTTGTCTTGCTGTCAGCTTAATTGTATTGGAGTACTGCTTCTCTTTTCACTGTCCAATAGCAAGCTAGGAGAAAGTCAAGACCTGTAGGTTTACTTAACCATAACAACGAAAAATCAGGTCTTCTGCATTGCCAAACAGGGATGTGATATGAAGCAGAGCTGTGTAAATGTCAGGACTGAATTGACAGAAATACAAATCATTCAGCAGATAAAAAAAAAAGCTTCCTTTACACTGTTTGTGTTTCTCCTGTATATTTAGCTGTTTGCCTGACATTCAGCTTTAACCTGACATATGCGTTTAATTAGATATGATAGAACATCTGGTCAACGGCTAATGTTTCAGTGTTCTGAATGTTCCCTACAAGACACAGATTTATTTCCTGTTAATCTGTCAAAGGAAGGCCGTGTATCTATTACTAACCTTTAACTGAACCTTTAAGCTTTCTATTTGTATGTTTTTATGCTTTGTTGTTTCTGTACTGCTGCATACATAATGGTGTTAGCTGATGGAAACTGTATGAAATTGCCACACCTCAGGAGATCAGACTGTGGTGGGAGGGGGTGAGCTGATCGGAAAATCATTTTTGTGTTCTGATTTCTTGGCTGCAAGTCACCATCCACCTCTAGGGCCTGCGGTCACCTTCAGAATCTCTACAAGATCTTTTATGGATCCTGGATATATACTAGAGATAAGAAAGTACTAACTCACTAGCTAAGGGTTCCAGAAGTGGAACAGTCTTGACCCTCTTAGTTCAGGAGATGTCAGCCAAAAGGATAAATCGGTTCAGCTCCATCCACCAAGCTCTTTTGTAATCATTTCTGTTTAATTTCAGCCACAGCAAACATCAGTCCTCTCCTTTTTTGCATGGAGAGTTAAGCAGGGTATTCACATATAGTTTTTTTGTTTTTTTTTTGTTCAACCAGCGGGTTGAATGGAAAAAAAAAAACTCTTGATTCCTGCATCCAAGCGATGTGGATGTAGGGATCTCACCTCACTGTACTATTGTATTCTGACAGCAAAGACTATATCCCCGCGGGTGCTGGCTGTCTGAATACAATAGCTGGTAGCATAGAATGGGGAATCTTTTATTTTTTAATTATAATTAGAAGGATTTATATAGTGCCAACAGTTTGCGCAGCCCTTTAAAATATATAGGGGAACAGTACAATTACAATACAGTTCAATACAGAAGGAATATGAGGGCGCTGCTCGTGGAGATTACAATCTAAAGGAAGAGGGAGGTGGTACAAAAGGTGATAGCTGCAGGGGATGATCTGATGGAGGTGACTCCAGTACAGTTCTTAGGTGGAGGTGGGGAGGCTTCTCTGAATAAGTGAGTTTTCAAAGATCGCCTAAAGGTGGACAGGGTGGTGGCTGACCGGACATACTGGGGTCGGGAGTTTCTGAGTATGGGAGAGGTTCTGGAGAAGTCCTGGAGGTGAGCATGGGAGGAGGTGACCTGGGAGCTAGAGAGCAAGATGTCTTGGGAGGAGGGGAGTGGGCAATTTGGGCCATATCTGCATTCTGTACTATAAACTAGCAGCAGGTATGGGAGTTGCCATCCCAATCTGGTCAATCAAGATGACTGAATACTCCTGAATCCAGCATAAGACAGGAGAAGGATGAAAATGATGAGGGAAATCACATATTTTTTATTGATGGGGGTGGTAAGTGTGGCATAATGTGTCAAAACTTTCAGGGAGGCCAAACCCCAAGCCCTTTACTACAACTATAATGTGTCATAAACTAGTTTGTTTATAGATGATGAATATGCAAGTGCATGAGGGCAGCTGTATTTCATCATTACATATGCGCAAAAAACCCCCTGCATAGTAGTACTGCAGAAACATTGAACTTTGTTTCCTTGCTTTCATTATGTTCGCACTTGTTTATCCGGGATGCTGATGGGTTGCCTTGTACATATACTGTAGCTCTTTGTATGTGAAATATGATCATTAAAATGTTGAATAGCAATTGTTAATGTGCAAAAATGTAAGCAAATGCTGAGTGCAAAAACAACTTTCTTGTAGATGTGACAATAAAATGTGTAAAGTGTAGTACAAAATATTAGAGTGCTGTTACCACATCCAAATCAAATGTTATGTTGACATGAGTTAATTTTATAAATCTTTGAACAGAATATTTTACTTGTTCAGGCCAAGCAGTTCCAGCATACTTTATATTCAGAACCTTGAATCAGTTTTCCTGGCTCTGTTTCTATTATAGTGGAAAAGTGATACTGTGGTCTTCAGTATTAAGCCTCCTACACACGATGAGCATATCGAACGAATAATCGTCCGCTTTTTAAAAAAAATTTTGCATGCTAGTCTCATATCAAAAATTAAAGCTAAAGTTATGAAAATTCTCGTATGACAGAATACAATGTTGGAAGTGAAGTGATGTATTGTATGGTATTGTAATGTATTCTTTCATTTCTGAGCATGTGTGATCTTGATCTTTCAATTTTTTTTCAGACAAATACTTTACTGATTGATGAGAAAACTTTTTGTGCTTGTCCCTTCGGATAATTTTGCATGAACTGTTGTGATATGCTCTCGCAAGGATCAGAACATCGCACGATTGCTTTGAATCGTGTGTACTAGGCTTTCATGTGATCATTGAGGTCTATAGGTCTTGCTGTCTCTGTAGAGCGCACAAAAACAAGGATACACCACTACTGAGCTTCTTTGTTCTTTTCTTTTGTTGTTACCACCCTTTCATTAACTCTACCTTTTATCTCTTTTTTTTTTTTTTTTTTTTATGTTTTCTTTCTAATTTACCCCTCAGGTAATTTTCCATCCAGAATTCCTCTCCTCTACAAGCCCACTTTTACCAGTAGATTACGAGGAGTTTGTGCGTGGATGTCACCTTGGGGTCTTCCCTTCTTACTATGAACCCTGGGGCTACACGCCTGGTAAGCCTTGACTATACCTAATATCTGGGATGTATAGTACCTATATTTTTTCATATTAAACTCTCTCTTGCTTCCATGAGAATTTTTGTTGAAAATATACAATCGTAATATTGGAGCTGTATGTAAGTAATGAAAAAAATACAATAAAAAGAATCAATGCTCACAGGCTCAACAATTGGGGTTCTGTCTCCATAGGCAAAATACAAAGGAATGGAATGCAGCATCTGTCCACCCTGAACTAGGAGGGAATTCAGCAGGCATAGCTGTATTTTTACAACCAAGTTGTCTTCCCCCCCCCCCCCCCAAAAAAAAATAGAAATATCGGGCAGTACAACATGTATTGTAGTTTAATGGAGGAATGCAGATAAAATTAAAGGATATATACCTCAGGTCTGTCATCAGAAAAGACTATATTTAGAAAATATCTTGCTTTTTTGATCTGGGGAAACAAGTTAAACATACAATTCTTTAACAACGATCCTGTAAGCAGGGGTGTATTTACCACAAGGCAAACAGGGTGGCATTTTTCAGGGGGGGCAGCACTGCTCCTTGGAAGAAGGGACACATGCGGCATGGGGATTTGGTGGGTTCCGAGAGATGCTGTGGGTTTCATGACAGTGTATGCACAGTCCGACTCTCATTCCTGGGTATGTCCGGAGCTGTGAAGGTGAGTGTCTGTCTCTCTCTCGCCATGGGGGATGCTGGCTGTTGTATGGGGGGCAGTGGTAATGGAAGGCTCGGGTGGAGGGCAGGGGTGTTTTTGGTCAATGTCAGGATCTTTATATGGGGGGCACCAATTTTTGTATTGCCTAGGGCAGCACAAAACCTAAATACCCCATTGCCTGTAAGTCCATACTAATCCTCTGTATGGCTAAGTGGTGGTATGGTTTCGGATGTGACTGCTTGTTGTCCACCACATGGCCATGTGTTACAGCCTTTAAAAGTAAACTGGATGATTGTATATGTTCGAATATGCATCTTATTGTTATGTCCTTTTTAAAATAGTTTTGCTTAAGATTATTTGTAAAACATTGGTCTTATGATCGTTTAAAATTGAGCTTCTATTTGAGCTGTTGTAATATCCATTTGAAAATAATAAAATCGAATGGAAAAGAAAAATGGCTGAGCAGTTCATTTTCAGTTATTTCAGCAGTTCATTTCTAGTGATACGATTGGAATAGAATACACATTTGGCTCACTGGTTCAGCTCACAACATGGCTGCTTCCATTCTACAGCTAATCTCCAGAGCTAGGCTCTTCTGTGTCACATCTGAATTAATGTTTATTTTTCCAGCTGAATGTACTGTGATGGGGATCCCCAGTATTTCCACCAACCTGTCTGGATTTGGGTGTTTCATGGAGGAGCACATCGCTGATCCCTCTGCCTATGGTAAACCACACTACATTTACTTATTATTTCACACATTTCGTTATATTTGTCATTGTGTCAAATTGCTTATTTTTTGGTTGTTTTTGCCACGCAGGAATTTACATCTTAGACAGGCGTTTCCGCTCGGTGGATGATTCCTGCACTCAGCTCACGTCCTTCCTGTACAGCTTTTGCCAGCAGACACGACGCCAGCGCATCATTCAGAGAAACCGCACAGAACGCTTGTCTGACCTCCTTGATTGGAAGTACTTGGGCAGGGTGAGATGTCCTTTCAGTGTTAAACATACCATCCTACCCTACTAACAGAGCATAGCTTTTGACCATACTTCTAAACCCCCAGAATAGATGGCCCTAGGCAGTTTGGACATTTTAAATTGGAGCTCTCTGTAACTTTACACATCTGCGTAAATAAGTCCCAAAAATGTCACCAAATATAGCAAACGTATGATTTAAAGAAATTGTAAATTTTATTATTAAAACCAAGTCCATGAGCTCCCGCCAAATGACTTTTCCTAGGCTAAGATGATATCATCAGTCTGTTGCAGGTAGGAGGAAGAATTTCCTCTGTCTTCTTGATGATCAGCCTGCAGAATTGTAACTTGTAGCAAGTCACATAATGAGAGGTTGCACCAGGGGGCTTATCTGTGTCAGATGCTTGTGAACACAGCAAATTGTTGCGCAGACACCATGATTTACATTGTTGTGTCATCTCTGTGTTGGCATCCCAGTCAAGAAATAAGATGGTGTCCCTGTATGATGCTTGAACTAAGATGGCTCCATCCTTCTAGATAAAAAAGTGGATTGGGTCATTTTCAGGGGAGTAATGTGATCTCTGCAAGTGGTAGTTTACCATGTTGATGTTGGTTCAAGAGTAATTTTTCAGCATTTTTGCTATTTTTGAATCTGTTTTTTTCATGAAGGTCCCTTGTTTAGGCACTTCCTAATTCTCTTTCAAATTGTGCTCCTTAGTTGTCACATAGGCTTTCGATAGAGACCACCAGTGGCCATTTCATCACACACTATTACACAGACATTGTCCACTGTTGTCTCTATCAGGAAACCTGCCCTGAGAAATGCCATGAAGCTATAGTTGAAGTTCATGTAGAGAGAAAGTCGCTGCAAAGAGGCGCTTCATGTCATCAGCAGCACTGAGATACAACAAAGGAGGAAAGATGAAAACAACAGGGTTTTATATTTAACATAAAAGACTATTGACACAGTGGTTTAGCAAGTTAAATGTGATTTATTTACAGTTTACATCTGCTTTATGAAAAAATAAAATAAATATCTCTATCTATCTATCTATCTATCTATCTATCATCTATCTATCATCTATCCACACACACAGTGGGGCAAAAAAGTATTTAGTCAGCCACCAATTGTGCAAGTTCTCCCACTTAAAAAGATGAGAGAGGCCTGTAATTGGCATCATAGGTAGACCTCAACTATGAGAGACAAAATGAGAAACAAAATCCAGACAATCACATTGACTGATTTGGAAAGAATTTATTTGAAAATTATTGTGGAAAATAAGTATTTGGTCACCTACAAACAAGCAAGATTTCTGGCTCTCACAGACCTGTACCTTCTTCTTAAGAGGCTCCTCTGTCCTGCACTCATTACCTGTATCAATGGCACCTGTTTGAACTCGTTATCAGTATAAAAGACACCTGTCCACAACCTCAAACAGTCACACTCCAAACTCCACTATGGTGAAGACCAAAGAGCTGTCGAAGGACACCAGAAACAAAATTGTAGACCTGCACCAGGCTGGGAAGACTGAATCTGCAATAGGCAAGCAACTTGGTGTGAACAAATCAACTGTGGGAGCAATAATTAGAAAATGGAAGACATACAATACCACTGATATTCTCCCTCGATCTGGGGCTCCACGCAAGATCTCACCCCGTGGGGTCAAAATGATCACAAGAACGGTGAGCAAAAATCCCAGGACCACACGGGGGGACTTAGTGAATGACCTGGAGAGAGCTGGGACCAACGTAACAAAGGTTACCATCAGTAACACACTACACCGCCAGGGACTCAGATCCTGCAGTGCCAGACGTGTCCCCCTGCTTAAGCCAGTACATGTCCGGGCCCGCCTGAAGTTTGCTAGAGAGCATTTGGATGATCCAGAAGAGGATTGGGAGAATGTCATATGGTCAGATGAAACTAAAATAGAACTGTTTGGTAGAAACACAACTCGTTGTGTTTGGAGGAAAGAGAATGCTGAGTTCCATCCAAAGAACATCATACCTACTGTGAAGCATGGAGGTGGCAACATCATGCTTTGGGGCTGTTTCTCCGCAAAGGGACCAGGACGACTGATCCATGTACAGGACAGAATGAATGTGGCCATGTATCATGAGATTTTGAGTGCAAACCTCCTTCCATCAGCAAGGGCATTGAAGATGAAATGTGGCTGGGTCTTCCAACATGACAATGATCCCAAACATACCGCCTGGGCAATGACAAAGGAGTGGCTTCGTAAGAAGCATTTCAAGGTCCTGGAGTGGCCTAGGCAGTCTCCAGATCTCAACCCCATAGAAAAACCTTTGGAGGGAGTTGAAAGTCCGTGTTGCCCAGCGACAGCCCCAAAACATCACTGCTCTAGAGGAGATCTGCATGGAGGAATGGGCCAACATACCAGCAACAGTGTGTGCCAACCTTGTGAAGACTTACAGGAAACGTTTGACCTCTGTCATTGCCAACAAAGGACATATAACAAAGTATTGAGATGAACTTTTGATATTGACCAAATACTTATTTTCCACCATAATTTTTTGCAAATAAATTCTTTCCAAATCAGCCAATGTAATTGTCTGGATTTTTTTTCTCATTTTGTCTCTCATAGTTGAGGTCTACCTATAATGCCAATTACAGGCCTCTCTCATCTTTTTAAGTGGGAGAACTTGCACAATTGTTGGCTGACTAAATACTTTTTTGCCCCACTGTATATATGAGTCATGGCCAAAAATATTGGCACCCCTGCAGTTTTGTCAGATAATACACAATCTAGCCCAGAAAGTAGTGGCAATTGCAAATGTTTAGGCATTCTCATGTTTCTTTTGTTTGTATTGGTATGACACAATTGTAAGAAATAATTTCATTCCAAGTTTGTGATGCTCCTATAATTTGTAATTAATCTCACCTGTATCAATTAACTGGTGCTGACAATATAGAAAACACACTGGCAACCAGTTAAAATGGTGAAACATTGACTCAGCCTTTCTGTTGTGTGCCACATGGAGAAGAGTAAAGAATTGTCTGAGGTTTGTTTGAGGAAACAAATTTGCGGAAAAACATGGACAATCTCAAGGTTACAAGTCCATCTCCAGAGATCTTATTCTTCCTGTGTCCACTGTGCGCAACATTGTCAATGAGTTTACAGCCCATAGCACTGTAGCTAATGTCCCTGGATGTGGACGAAAGAGAAAAATTGATCAAAGATCAGCGAAGGATTGTAAGAATGGTGGTTCAAGAACCTCGATCAACTTTCAGACAAATTCAAGCTGACCTTCAGCTCGCACTATACGTTGCCATCTGAATGAAAAGGGACGCTATGGTAGGAGACCCAGGAGGATCCCACTGCTGACACAGAAACATAAAGTCGGAGTTTCCCAAAACTTACCAAAGGAAGTCAAAATCTTTTTGGGAGAATGTGCTGTGGACAGACGAAACAAAATTACAGCTTTTTAGTAAAGCCCATCAGTCTATTGTTTTCAGAAAAGGCAATGAGGGCTTAAAAATACAGGCACTACAGTCAAATATGGTGGAGGTTCACTGATGTTTTGGGGTTGCTTTGCTGCTTCAGGCACTGGATGTCTTGACCGTGTGCATTGCATTATGAAATCTGAAGACTACCAAAGAATTCTGGGGTGCAATGTAGGGCCCAGTGTCAGAAAGTTCGGTCTCCATCAGATGTCATGGATCTTACAGCAGGACAATGACCCAAAACACATGTCAAAAAGCACCCAGAAATGGTTTCAGACAAAGCGCTGGAGAATACTAAACTGGTCAGCAATGAGTCCAGATCTCAATCCCATAGAGCACCTGTGGAGAGATCTTAAAACAGCAGTTGGGAAAAGGAGCCCTTCCAATCTCAGAGACCTAGAGCAGTTGGTGAAAGAAGAGTCATCCTAAATTCCAGTAGAGAGATTGATTTCAGTTATTTTTTTTTTCAAGAGGTGTGCTACCAAATATTAAATTGAGGGTGGCAATAATTTTGTCCAGTCCATTTTCAGGGTTTTGCATGGAATGTGTCAGATTATCTCTTTATTTCTCCACTTTTTTGTGTCCTACCAATACAAACAAAAGAAATAAACATGAGAACAATTTTCTGGGCAAAGTGACAAAAATGCAGGGTGCAGATAGATAGATTCTTACTATGAAAAAAATAACATGATTGATAATATAACAAATGCAGGAGAGTTGTGCAATAAAACCTAATTTGTGTCCTTCTGTCTCCTAGTATTACACGTATGCCCGACACATGGCGCTGGCTAAGGCATTTCCTGACAACTTTACATATGAACCCCATGAACCCACTGGTGTAAGTACATTTGCAAGCTTACTTTCACTCTGACATATGAGCCTCTTCCAAGATTTTGCTCTGAATAACACATTTGTTTGCTCAAGCACTTTCAAGACCCAAAGCAACACAGGTTTCTTTTGCCCCTGCAGATTGTGGGCTCATTGATAATTTGACCATTTTTGGGAGTTTCCTACTGCAACATTTTCAGACGGTCTGAAGAGAAAGTATAGTGTGTTCTCAGCATGCACATATGAGGTTATTGCAGTTATAGTTTGCGCCTCCATTTTTGGGATAAATATATGGATTTCTAGGTTAACCACTAGAGGGAGCTCTCTGCTCACTGAGCAAAACTGTATCAAACTGCTATAAATGAAAAATGATTTTTTGCTAAAGTGGGAGCATTGCATTTTTATTTTTTTTAGGGCTCATACACACAGATGATTTGTGGCACAAATATGCTTTAAATTCTGCCTTTTTTTTATTTATTTTTTTTATTACACCTGATGAGTAGCAGGTGGCAATTATAGCACTGCCATAGAAGTGAATGACCACACAGCCATTGTTGGGTAAATGCCAGTGCTGTTTTGGATGGTGTTTACATGCACATGCACTCATTATGTATTCCACAAACAAAAGTTCTGCATTCATGGAATATGTCATATGCGCATATAAACGCAGATGCAACAGAGCATTGGTGTTTAGTGAAATACAGCCAGTCAATTCTGTGGCCAGATGTATGTGCCGCCTGTGCCTCCTTGGGCACAGAAAACTACTGGGATTTGTACACTAGAGCATATTTGCACTGCAAACCATCCATTTGTACTAGGCCTTACTGTGTGTTAATAGAACACCTCTAGTCCGAACTAGGACAATGAAATTCTTATATTATTATTATTATTATTATTACAGGTACTTCTATAGCGCCAGCAATTTATGCAGCGCTTTACATATTGTACATTCATATCAGCCTTAAGGGGCGTACAATCTGAGGTCCCTAACTCACATTCATACATACACATACTGTGTGGCAGGAAACCGGAGTACCCGGAGGAAACCCACGCAGGCACATGGAGAACACGCAAACTCCAGGCAGGTGGTGCTGTGGTTGGGTTTCGAACCAACGACCCTAGTACTGCCAGGCGGAAGTGCTAATCATTTAGCCACTGTGCTTGTTTATTTATATGAAATGTGCTGGAAGATCCATCTGATGAATAGGCACATTATTTGGAAAAATGTACTATCCAGTGTAAAAATATCACAATGTGCTCAACAATTTCTGTGACTCGCTGCCCCCAGGGGACTACAGCTGTTCATGAACTACAGACATTGGGAAGCTATCAAAATATGCATATTGTGCATTTCAGCACTGCTTCCTTGAAGTCTGTTGTAGCAATGTAAAGATGAGTGATCAGAAAGTAAAATGTGACCCTCTGGACCTGCTGACCCTGGATTGTGCTGCTTGAATCCCATTATTCTAAAGGCACCACCAGCCCGTAGAGCAGGCAGAGGAGTGTATCCATTGCATAGCAGGGAGACCTGAAATGAAAGCACCACAACCTCATAGTCTTAGAACAAACAATATACAGCTGCTTCAGTTTAGTGTGAACCTCCCAAAAGCTGTTGAAAGCTTGGGGCACCAGTGTTTAGTTTGCAGTAAACCCCATTAAGAACCACATTGCTAGAAATGATAGCTTATATCTATGAAAACACACCGGGGCAGATATATGAATATGGCCACTTTTACAACTTTACCTGGCACTACACAAGACTCCCTCCAATATACAGACATGTCCTCTCTGGTATATTTGTGATATCAGGCAAGTACTCTGCCCCTTTAAATGTAATAAGGGAGGGCAAACATTGCCATGGCATATAGCAGGGGTGTCAAACTCTATTTCATCGTGGGCTGTATCCGCATTATGGTTGCTTAAAGGTCGGTTGTATCTGTAAGACTAGATGTCCAGAGCACCTGACCCCCATTACATCAGATATCAAGAATCTCACACCCTCCCTTAGATTACCGTGTACCTCCTTTGGGGGCAGAGTTAGAAAGCAGAAAGTGCAGGGTCTGGAGGAGGACCAGAGGAGGAGTGGAGTCAGTTACCAGAGTATGCTGAATGCTGAGACCAGGGGAGGCAGAGATGAGGGGGGTGCTGCATCTGCACAGAGAGGTGCAGGATTTGGCAGAGGAGTTCTATTCTCCTCTCTGCTGCCAACTGCTGAGACGGAGTGGGGGCAGAGACAAGAGGATACCTGCAGGAGAGGTGCAAGGACCACATGATATGGCCTGGTGGGCCGGATTCGGCCCACGGGCCTTGTGTTTGACACCTGTGGTATATAGAAAATGTAGAAAATGTCATTGCTGTTTCCTGTAGTGGGCATGTCCATTCTTTTTTTCTGCTCCAGTATGTTATTTAATGTGAAACTCCTACCTCAAATAGACAGAAAAAAACCTTTAGGCTGACCAGGAAAGGTTTAGTACTTCTGTCAATATATGTGCAAATTCTGGGGTATGTTCCTGACACTAATAGAAATGAAGAAGCTGCTTGGATGAAGAGGGAAACATTTACGGAACAACTAGTATAATGTGATGAGCTACTACAAATTACACCTCCGTTTAAGTTTTTTTATTAACTGTCCCTGTTGGTGAGACAATCCACTATCTTCCTGCCCCAGGGACAATGTTCACAGGTATAAGAAGATGATCTACAATGAGATGAGAGGTTTTAGCACTTTAAATAAACAAAGTCCGTAAGAAAAATAACCGAAACAATTAAGGACCTTTTTATCTTGCCATAATTTCCGAGCTGTCCTTTTCAGTATACCAAAATGTGCTATTTTACACCTAATTTGCCGGGACAGTGCGGGAAGGATCGCAGCACCTGCATGACCAATGTCAAGTACAACTAGTTGCCCTGTTTCCAAAAACGGTGTGATCTCTGCATTTATTACTGTTTAGTTGTGTATAAAAGTATGTGCCTGCTGCTTGCATGGTAAATAGATAAAAGAAAAAAATGCTTCTGGAGTGCATTCCATTAGTAAATCAGAACTCCATGTCTGCAATGAACTCACTGGAATCAGTCACCAAATGCACTACACATGTCTGTAGAACAATGTAGAACTTAAAATGGTTCTAAAGGCTTAAAGTGGAGTTCCACTCATTTTTAAGAGTTAACCTCATTTTACTGTGCACAGGCAATGGATTAAGATTTGGAAACTGATAGGTTTCCATTTCTGCAGAAAGTACCTGTTTTTTTAGTTGTCTTCCCCGTGACTTCCAGTCAAGGCTGCCTAGGTGATTTTGGCACCTGACCCCTAGGAGATCGATCCCAGGAGTCTTCAGGCATCGAAAGTGGATAACAGTGCGATATTTCCTGACTGGAAGTGTTGCAAATTGCCACCATTTTAGAAGAATTGCTATGGCAACCTGTAATTAGCAGACTGCGCTGTTCAGTGTCATTACACGTGAGATAGCTGGGTAGCCTGCTGCACCTAATCCCGGAAATACAAACGAGTGGGCTTCAGATGCCCACATCCTCGATGGCCCCTGCTGCTTCCGTGATCATGTAAATTATTACAGATTTAGGAGTAACCAGCATGAAGACCGTTTAGGACATATAATGTAATGTGCATTAATGTACTAATACTAACAATCACGGGGGAGCTTTTTAAAAAAATTTGATTGTGGGGATTGGAGCTCTATTTTAAAGATTGTTACCTTAATACATTCTATGTATTAAGGTAAAAAAAAAACCCTTCCAGTATCCGCTCTCCCCAGCCCCCCCAAATACTTTTTTGTCTCCTCTTTCAATCAAGCGCTGTGCCTGAGAGCAGTATCGCTGCTCGCTCTTCAAAGAGACAGAGGCAGCCATTGGCTCCTGCTGCTGTCAGTCAAATCCTGTGAACAGGAAGTTGGGGAGGTGGGGCCGAGCCAAGCTGTGTGTGTGTCTATGGGCACACACAGCCCAGCTCGGGGGAGTGAGCCCACACGTCTGCCCTCATTGCAAGCCTTTGCTATGGGGGCAGACAGAGAAGAGTAGAAGCTGAGAGCACTGGGGATCACAGAAGCGGAGGTTCGGGGCCGCTCTTTGCAACACCATTACACAGAGAAGCGGAGTATAACTTGTTTGTTATTGTTATATTAAAAAAACAAATTGCCTTTGTTGGCATTGTAATAGTAACCATAAATTGCCCAATAAGAGCAAACAAAGTTCCTGTTTTCAAGCATCTCTTGTTTGTCTCTAACTTTATAGAAGGGACAGGTGAGCCTGTTCAGTGGTTAGTGGTTGTTTATCCAACAGGAAGATATTTTTAATGGGTCCAATTCTTCGCTTGTCTGTTCTATAGAGTGAAGGTCTATAGTATCAGATGTGTGCCACCATCATTCTGAGAGAGGGAACTGCTTGACTATACCCCCCCATGAAGTTGTATATAGGCATTTCTGGCTGGCTCTTTCATATCTGCTGTGTACATACTGTATATAGTCGGATCTGGTATTGATCAAGCTCTTTGACTTAGGGTAGTGCTAGGTTAGAAGATCCAAACAGACAATTAGGAAATCATTTTCTAACACAAGATCTGAACTTGTCTTTGTCCCATTTTTAGGCCGCAGGGTTCCGTTATCCACGTCCAGCATCTGTGCCACCCTCTCCTTCTCTGTCCCGCCACTCCAGCCCACATCACAGTGAAACAGAAGATGATGAGAGATATGATGAGGAAGAAGAGGCAGAGAAAGATCGCCAGAACATCAAGTCGACGGCCATGTCCTCTGTGGGGCCAGTTCCTGAGTGGCGTAAACGCTCCCAAAAAGGGCTCAATAGATGCCAGCTACTCTAGTAATGCTAGCAACGCAAGCACTCCCACCAACCCCAGCAGCCCAAGTGACCTCAGCAGCCCTACCAGTTCTCTCATTGAGGAGAGGAACTAAATATGTCTCTACTGTCTTTTAACTCTAAAACAAAGGTTATTACAAAGATTATTTGTTGTTAAGATGGAATATATTACAAGAGGAACTGATCTGTATTTTTTGCCTAGGTCTAAAGACTTTTCTAAGCTATATTGGGTCAACTGAACACCAGCATGTTATTCTTGCTGGCTGGTAAATGCTTGGTGGGTCTGGAATGCTATCTGAAGAGTTTTTAAAGGCTTAGTCCAACTTTGAGTACAGAGGTTTCTAAACACATTTTTTTTCCATGTTCTTGGTCAAATATTATATGTTTGCAGTGGAGTCGTTTTACTTTAGGTTAAAGCTCAATCTATTTTGATTGTGAGAGCTCTAGAAGGTAGCTGATGGGGGACGGTAGTGACCAAGACCAAAGCCTGTGGTTCAGCCGAGCTCATCCATTTGTAATTGGCTAAAGCACTTTTACTTTTAGTCTCACTCCAGTCCACTAAGCCCTTCCTAACTTGCATTCTTTCAAACACAACTGAATAAGCTGTCACTTCCTCCTAGAACAGTTAAGCCAAACATTGGTAATGGTGACTATACCAGGCTGAAGGTCCTTATACCCTACCATAAGTGCAATACTAGTCTGAACTGTTTGTCTGTTTAACTGTGTACTATAGTTAGTACTACTGTAACCAACTGATCTATGCCTCCTTTGATGTCAGTGCCATTCATCAAATCAGTGTGTTTATATATGGTGTCTTCCAGAGAGTTTTACTGCTCATGTTTCTTATGTAACTAGGTATAACCTACCTGCTCACAGTGCAGAGCAAGCTTTTTATGTGCACACAATTCATAAAAAGTTTATACGGAGTTAAAAGCAGACAAAATGTTGTCCTATCACTGCACCGTAGCAAACAAATCGGTTTACTTCAATCCACATAATGCAAGCCAATAGTGTGTACAGGAAGCGGGTTATAATTTAAAGGGCAAGTCTACCCAGAACATATTTATCAGTTTTGAAAGAAGTGCAGGGCTCCTGCTGTAGCTAAAATGCTGCATTGCCCACAGAGCTTGGCTTTTAGGCTGTGCTACAGTTGTCACCATGTTTAGTTCTTTTACACATTCCTATGGAGGACCTACTACAGGGCACAGAAGCCCTGTATCATGTATCCCAATAATGGCTTCTCCACAGGAACGATAAAGGCTAACAGGAATAGCTTGGTTGAAAACACAAACTTTCAGCCTGTCATGGCTTTACTGGGGGTGGACGGCAGTGAAGACCAGGCATGCAATGGAACCCTGGCAAACAGTGTTGAGGGATTGCTCTTTAAGCTGCTACATTTCAAACCGTCTCAGGGCATTGATTAAAAGTGCAAAATTGGTTGAATGTTAATGATTTCAATCAAATAGCTATACAAGTTGTACATTAACCACATGCTGGTAGTCCTGACCTCACAGTAGAATACAAGGTCCTTGTTTAGTTCTGCAGATCTCAGGTAGGCAGGGTTCTCATATAATGGCTTTCACTGGCCAATTTTCTATGCTGCTCTGGTCTGTACAGTGCAGTCACAGCTGCTTCTAGAAAGTATGTGAACAGGCCATTGTCATCTTCCGCACAGTATGAATCCACGTGAATTTCAGGCATTTGGCTGAATCTTCTGGGTTTTTCGATGTTTTTTTACATTTTGCTTGTCTTTTGGTTTTCAACCATTTCGTGATTAAAGCAGATAGCGTTCTGATTCCCCTGTTATGTCTGTGACTGATCATCATGTAGTAGGGCTGTGGAGAGTGAAGTATCACACATAAATATATAGTATTTAAAAATAAAATTTTAAATCTGATATTGAGTGGTCTGTTATTATGTCACCTGATACACGGGGGGGGAGACTGCTAATGTATTTCCTATTAGTAGTGCTATGAACTTTAAAGAAAACCTCCAGGCAAGACAACATAATGCACTATTCAGAATATGTATTATGAGCAATATTTACAATTGTCACCTTTAAGCTTTATACACACGCACTGAGGCTCTTATAGAATGAATGAGCCGTTTGTTTATGCATCTGGATCTGTGTGCAGGCAGCCTATGTTACTGATGGGGGACACAGTGACTGTATGAACACAGGCACGAGCAGGGGCGTCCCTAGGGTTGGTGTCACCCGGTGCGATAACACTTGGTGATACCTCCTCCGACGATCCCCGCAGAATGGATCGGATCTGCGGATTGAGCATAATGATTCGGACTCCAATCCATTATGCTCCCCAATTCACAGATCCGATCCATCCTGCGGGGATCGTCGGCTTGCTTTACAACTTACCTTTTCGTGGCACGGGTCTGGTGTCACCCTGTATAGGATGCATACCGACGATCCCCGCAGGATGGATCGGATCTTCGGATTGAGCATAATAGATCGGATTCTGAGTGCTTCAGTTCTAGTACTTTTACCCCACTGTGTCCACATTCAGCAACCTAGGCTGCCTGTGTGCAGTTTCAGGTGACTCCAGCCACATAAACAAATGGCTCATTCACACTGTACAGACCTCAGCGCCCAGAGCAACGAAAGCTTACAAACAAAGTGTAGTGATAGAAATATGGGGACTGCCATTGCTTACCAGCTTCTGAAAATGCAAACTTCTTGGCTGTTTTTGGCTTCAGTACTTTGAGTCCCTGAGGCAAGCGTGCAGCCAGTGAAATAACAGGAAGGCTAGAATTGCTGATCTGCTGTTCCAGGTCAGAGGGCAAGAAAGCATATTAAGCCTTCAACATAAAAGCAACAGTACATGCATTTTTGAAAAGGATAGATGAAGTGATTGTAAAGTTATTTTTTTTTATCACAAACATGTCATACTTACCTGCTTTGTGTAATGAGCAGCCATATTTTTTGGGGGGCCCTGCTAGTGCTCCTGGTTCCCCCCCCCCCCCCATTCCAAATGCCCACCATAGAAAGCTGCTTGCTATAGGGGTGCTTGTGTAGGCTTGATCCCAACCTGGGCTGTGTGTGTCCAGTTACACACACAGCCCGGCTTGGCTCCAACCCCACTCTTTCCTCTTAGACTGTGATTGACAGCAGCAGGAGTCAATGGCTCCTGCTGCTACCTCCATGTTCATTGAGGAGAGGGAGGAGAGATCCGCTGCTATTGGGCACAGCTCTGGCTCAGGTAAGTATTAACTGAACACAAGGGAATGCATCAGAAAAACTTTCTGCCTTTACCACCACTTTAAGAAATGGCATCCTAATTATTACTTTCAATTCAGGTTTTCTTTGAAGTCCATTGTGATAAACGGGAAAATCCAGCCATTATTATATGGTCTTTTTTCATTACTGTATGTTTTGTGAAGAGCTCTATCCCTAAGCTCAAGTTAAAAAAAAAAAAATGGCACTTAAAATCTAACCTCTGAGTGTGATGCATCCATATGCTGTGGCGTGCACATTTCGCACAAAAGTTGGGTGGATCTTAGACATACCTCGGACTTTAAGCTCTCTCCAAATTTAAATGTTGTTATAATTTGTGCTAACGCCTGTCACTGCCACTTTTTCTGGTCTGTTTAGTAAATGTGGAAAAATAAAAGTAAAGGGAAACAAGGATCCCTATACTTTATATTATGCATTTACCATATACAGTTATTGGAAATTTTGGAGCATAGTTGGAATCCTTCCTCCTAAGCTTGCCATGAGGTTTCAGTTTAATCCTGTAACTTTTTATTTATTTTTTTTTTACACTAAGCTTTCTCTCCTTATTCACATGTTGAACAAAAAGTCCCCTATGTGATGCATTTTTTTGCTGACAGGCTCTCTTTAATGAGAGATCAGGGATCCAATAGACTACATTGGGAAAGTCTGCTGGCCTGCGGAAGGAGAGAACACCTTGGCCAATAGCCTTATAAACAGGAAATAAGGGAACTTGAGCTCTTATGTGTCGGTTTCTGGGAGCAGTTTCACAGTAGATGCACCATTACATTGCAAAAGAAGACAATATTTGAGGACAGTAAGAAATGCCATGTGTAAAGCTGTCAAAAATTTCTGCCCAGAGTTCATCTTTAAAGGACAGGTTCACCTTTTTAACAAAAAATAAATGCACTTCGCAGGTAAAAAAAATTTGCATATTATTTTTTGTTTGTGGAGCCTCTAAAGCATTGCACCAGCGATCAGCTGGCTGGGGGGAGCTAAGGATGGTCTGATTGTAACATATTACATGTTACATGTTACACACTGAATATGGGTGTAAACTGTAACATGTTACGAAAGGTGAACTTATTCTTCAGAAAATAGACTGTAAGACTTCATACACTTTGTCATTTTGATGCACAATGGAGTGCAGCTAAGGGTACTTGTACAGTATGTGGTACTGATATATGAACATCAGTATTCCTTGCTGAAATGACTTGAAATTATTATGCACATACAGTTGTGGCCAAAATTATTCAACCCCCACTGAAATTGAGTGTTTTGGCCAGTTTGACATTGCTTTTGATCATTCAGTCATCTTGCTTACATTTACATTAAAGAGGCACTTGTAGGTCAGACAAATATAACATAACAGTTATAATGAAATAACCACAAATGTCTTTTCTGTGCTCACAGCATTATCAGTTTTATTCAACCCCCAAGTGACATTCAATCTTAGTACTTAGTACAGCATCCTTTTACAGTTATAACAGCTTTTAAACGTGAAGCATAGCTTGACACAAGTGTCTTGCAGCGATCTACGGGTATCTTCGCCCATTCTTCATGGGCAAAGGCCTCCAGTTCAGTCACATTCTTAGGCTTGCGCACTGCAACTGCTTTCTTTAAGTCCCACCCAGAGGTTCTCAATCGGATTTAAGTCTGGTGACTGCGATGGCCACTCCAAAATGTTCCAGCCTTTCCTCTGCAACCATGCTCTAGTGGACTTGGAGGTATGCTTGGGATCATTGTGTCCTGTTGAAAGGTCCAACGTCTCCCAAGCCTCAGGTGTGTGACGGACTGCATCACGTTTCCATCCAATATCTCCTGGTACTGAAGAGAATTCATGGTACCTTGCACACGCTGAAGCTTCCC